TTGCCCATGCTTACTTATTGACAGGGCTAAGGAGCGAGCAGCTGTATTATATTTTAAGGAGGCAAATAAAGCACAATATCCACTTCATGTCTTCTTTTGGCCTTTGGTTGAAATTTCAACAGGTTTTAAGAATCTCTTGCACATCAAATTATTTTTCTGTGGCTTAATGAGGGGTTGGAAAACAGATTTTCAGGCCCACTTCCACATCATTGGTGCCTACACAAACACCTAGCTTTTTTTTTTCTCCAGAATCCAGGGCTTGGCTAAAGCTCTGCACTTACAAACTGGACGGTGGGCACAGCTCAGCCACTCACCCACTCTGTCCCTGGCACCCTGCTTCAAGCATCGCACAACCAGGTTTTATGCAGCTTTACCAAAGTGTTACCAAGACACGCAACCCAACCACGGAGGGAGAAGTGGTGAGAGAACTTCTCTCGTGCCTCCCCACCCTAGCCACCAAACCGCTGTCACCAACACCAGCCTCCCTATCACCTGCAGATCTGTCCCAAAGACATTTAAATTGAAAAGGCATGGTCTGATTCCATGCTTTGACTACCTGTGTGGCAAAATTCAAAGGCTTTCGCACAGACGAAGCCCGTGGGAGGAGGCACTGTGGTCATGGCTGCGGAGATCCCACAACGACCCATAGGAGGGCAAGCAGGGCTGCCGGAAAGATACATTTGTACTACTAAAACCACCAGAAGTGGCTAGTTTGTGAATTTACACCCATTTGCGTTTGTTCTCTTTGACTGAGGACTTGATTTCCATTTCAGCTAGACTGGAGCCAGGTGGTAAGAATGAGCTCTGGCAGCATGGCATCTTCCTCAGACCCACTCGTTTAAAATATACTTTGTTATCTACGTATATTTTAATTTTTAAGCACAATGATTTGGCAGGGAATCTCGGGCATCTTTGCTCGGTGCCTGTTGTTTAGTCTAGAGGTGGTGAGTGTTTGACTGCGGGGATGCCAGGAATGCACTTGGCCTTCCTACTCCTCTTACGCTTGGCTGGGGCGTCCCCACTTGTGGGATTCCTTGGTGGAAAGACCTGGACAGAATTAAAGGCTTTTCACCTTGAGAACTGGTGAGCGGTGACAAGCTGTTGCTGGGGCAGGTGACTGAGGACCAAAGGAGATGGGCAAGTCCATCACCAGCCTTTGAACTCCCATGTGTGCTAAGATGGGTTTATATCAGCTCTAACCATTACGTGTGCCTTAACCTTTAATAATTTGCAAGCCTAAATAATAAACCAGTGAGATGATCTTTAATACTAGTTTAAAACAAATTTTTCCCCCCCTCTTTGCTCACCCTGTGTGAAACTGATGTTAAATATGAGGTTGCCTCATCTTCTACAGCAGCAGTTGCTCCAGGTGACCCTGCTCTGCCCTGGATGCCATGGGCAGCTTTAAGATATCTCTGTGTTTATATGCCTGGGTCCAGGTGTGTTAATGGGTGAAGTTCTCAGAAGTTTGGATATTCCCACCTGGCCTGCAAGGCTTGAACTTCTCATTGACAGCCATTGCTTGCTGAAATACAGGCTGGAACTGAGCAATGGCTCAGAGATGCCCTTTGCAGCTGAAGACCCAGTCTTTACATGAAGAACTGTCTCCTGCTGGGCATTTCCAGGGCAGCTGGGACAAAAAAAGGTTAATCTTAATTTCTTGGGTTTGCAAGAACCATCTCAGTTTGGGGTTTTGCAGCTAAGCCATGGCCACGGGTCCTTTTCCACTGCAAAGTGGGCACAGTGGCACTTCAGTATCGGGCGAGACGTTGGTTGTGCAGCTGTGTGGTACAGGGCTGTCTCGCAGAGCCCACGAGATGCCCAGTCACTCTTCTGCCACGAAAACACACCAAGCATTTCCATTTTGCCCTCATGTTAGGGGTGGGGGTTTTGCTTACACAGTTGAGTACAGCTGCTAGGGGAAATGCAGATCATTTGGCTTTCAAAACCTTTCAAGAAATCAGACAAAAAATCCTTAGGAAAGACAGGAATAGTAAATGAGCCACTTTTATCTCTTAAAAAAGTGGGAGAATGAGGCATTTCCCGCCTGTGAAATTTTACCAGCAAATTATATGCTAAAGAGTGTTATTTGAAAGAAAGTGTTGCTACATTGCTATTGAACACAGCTTTAATAATAAATTGTGGTGAAGACAGAACTGGTTAATATCCTTTGAAGGAAATAGGAGCTTTTTGCGGCAAGGAACCATTTACTTTGGATTATATCATAAAAAGTTTTTGACTGCAATGAAAAGTCTGGAGACTGGGGAATGGGATTTTCCTTCAGAAGTAAAAGTTTATTTTCTGTTACAGAGTACGTGGGTAGTGAATTCCTCTGTCTTCCCTTTCTTTATTATTCTCTGTTATGCTTCCTACCCTTTTGTTGTGAAACTTTGAAGTTTCCTTTTTCAATATTGATATTTAACGCTGCCCTAATTGGAAGGAGCTAGCAACATTAATCTCTCTGTCCGCTCTGTCAGTGCTGGTGGGAAGAGGTTAACAAGCCCATTGGAAGGTGTATTTTTTCTCCCCTCCCTCAGGAATTGGGTTTAAGACCTTCACAGGGAAGTATTTAATGTGTTTTCATTAAGTCAGGTTTTCTTTTTCCTATTACGATTTTGCTTTCAGACCTCACTTCGTTCTCAGCATTGACTTTCTTGGGCTGGTCTAGCCAGTGCCCGCAGAAGGGACGCGCGGTGGGTAGGTGGGCACGGAAGGTTGCAGTGATGTTGCCCCTAACTGTTTGTGCATTACTGCTGTCCGGATCGGTGTGCTTGCCAAGAACGCACGGAGGTTTTTTAAAGGTGGCAACTTCTCTAGCATCAGTCAGTTCACTATTTACTGTGGGTAATTGCTTTGCTAAAAGAAAGTAGATTTAAGCCTGTGCTTAACGTTACAGATATCCCGGATGTTTTGCTGAATCAAAACTCGGTTCTGGAGATGTCTCTCAGCATCGCTCCAAACCAGTCTGTTTTTTTCCCTCAATTATTCTTCAAACCTGGCTTTTGAGTCAAGTGCCTGTGGAAGTGTCTGTGTGGAAAATTGCAGGGAGAGCTCTCAAATGAGCTCTAGCTTGAAGGCTTGGAGACCAGAAAGCCACCAGTGGTTGTTTACATGGAAAAATCATGATTTTTTGGATGCTGGGGAGTAGATGTACGATCCCATCATCAACCAGGACTGTGAACGTTCTGCGGAAGGAGTGACGTTTATAGACTTCATGCTTTGTATGGCAGCTTATTGGGGCTTTCCTTCTTGCAAATCCCAAGGAGTTGCAGTGAACCCCCCCACCGATGCTCAGGCCCTGGCTGGTTTGTGCCTCAGGATCGAGCCTCGTGCTGTTATTTTGGTGTCTGAGACACCCGGGGCTTCTGCACAGCTCGAATGCGGATGCCTGGTGTCTGCCATGGGTTGCTTTTGTGCTTCAGCCTGCCTCTAGGTTGGGAACTTCTTTATTTAGTCACCTGGTTTTATCAGATTTGCAATCTCCAAAAGCTCGGTTTCTCTGTCAGAGAGGGCTGAAATTGGCCAGTGGATTTAAACTTGCCACAAGGGACACAGACTGTCAAATACACACATGCGGTGATTTTCTTCAGGAAACAAAGCTAAAAATAATAATGATTCATAAAAACACTATGGAAAATACTGGTTTTCTAGTGGATGGAACAGGTAACATCCAATTTTGTATGTTATTAAGCTGCCTCCACATTTTGAGCTCTGGTACAGATGACTTTCTCTGCAAACTGCAATTTAATACAAGTCTTTCAAAGCCGATGTCTGCTATGGTAAACCGGGGGATTTTATTTTGACAGCGAGATACTTGCTTGGCAGTTGTTATTGAAGAGAACTGATCTTGGGACTTGCAATTATTCCTTTTCTGAAAAAAAAAAAAAAAAGCTCTCTAAGCGTCAGTGTTTGCCTTTGGGGAGAAACTCCTTCAAGCATGTGTGACCTAGACCCTTGTTTTTCGGAGCAGCTGCCTTGGCTGAGCCCCTGCCATGCAGCTGGGAGCCGGGGAGCTGGGGCACGGGGCGATGGGGGGGACCCCAGTTCCTGCACCCCGTTGCAACCTACCGGGGTGCGCAGCCGCAGCTCTGCAGAGCAACGCTGACCGCTGCTCCGTGCTTCTGGTTTTAAGGCAGAGTCATGTTCAGGATTGCTAATCCTTCCTGCAAGACACTTTGCAGACGCTGGCCCCAGAAGGCTTGGAGAGACAAGCATTTTGCATGTTGTAACAAAAGGAGCTCAGAAACTTTGCCTGATCCCGTTGAGAGGCATGAAATTGCCTGATCACAGCCCGAGACTTTTATGAAATAACCGTGCGGTGAGCTGCGGGGCGGCGGTAACCACTCTCCCCCTCCGCACCGTGAGCTAATCCCACCAGAGCTGTTGGTGCTGCAGGTGCGAGTGCCGGCCATGGCAATTCCCATTTGCAATCCCTTCTCCTGGTGCCATTGTGAAATCCGTGTTTTAATCTTGCTACTGTTGTTGCTTTCTTCTTTCTTGAAAAGAAAACCCCAAAGAACGTTAAACTGTGTCTGTGTCTTGGCAACTCGAATACATGAACAGATTGTGCTTCAAAAAAATGGCAAAGTTTCAAAATATTGTATTCTGTGAAGAAGAGACAAGGAAAATAAACTCCCCAAAGTGCAGATTTTATTTCACCAGAAGGCGGAAGGCCTTTAATACTTATTTGGGTTTGGCATTTTTCTACCTAGTTCTTCTGCTGACACCACTTGTGAACCATGATAAGATTAAATGCTGTACAACCTGTTCTGGGTCAAATTAGGTTAATATCCAGTAGGTTTGTTTTCACCCTCCCAGAGCAGGTTTCTGAGGCTAAGGTACAGCACATGGGATCGTGCAAGCAAATCAACAAAAGAAAAAAAGAAAAAATGGAAAGAACAGAGCAAATTTGTGCTTGTTTCTCTTTTGATTTTGGTTGTTGTGTGAATGCCATTGCAGCAGTGTGGATGGATGGTCGATATGTCAAAGTATGCCAAGAGATGGCTGGTGAGTGTTAATGGGAAAGAGTTCAGCTCTAGAGCTAAAGAGGCAGTTCCTGCCTTTGTGGGCAAGCCGGCGAATTTCTGTGTCTTGATTCCCACGTGCAAAATAAGGATGAAGGTACTGCTTTACTTGTGCCCATGGTTGTCTTGTTTGCTTGAACTGCAAGAGAATGCAGGCAGGTTTTTGGAGGCAGAGAGGTCACTGGGATGGCAGACTTGGAAATTGCCAGAGAAACAGGGTTTTTGTTTGCCTGCACTGCAAGACTGCAGTGATTTTGAGATTCCTTTTTTAGCTAAAACATGACAACATCAAGAACACCGTTACCCATTTAGCATCCTGTTGGATCCGATGTGCACTTGGCGCAGTTTGGGCAAGAAATGCTATCTAGAGCATGTCGCACAGCAGGGCTTGCTTCTCAGTTGTGCCTTCTAGAGACCTTTGTAGTACAACTAAGAAAACTAGAAGGAAAAAGGTCAAAGAACAGCTAACTGTAGGAGTTCCTCCACTTGTTTTTACAATGATTTTTACTTCCTAACGCACCAGCTTTCACCCTTTGGGAAAACTGAGAGCTATTCTTCATGCTTCTGAGTGACCCTGCTTCTTTTATTTTGCCTTTTCTGTGCTAGACTGGAAGATCCTTGGAGCAGAGAATTGGCTTTTTTTTTTTTCCTTTTGTAAATTTGCAGCTCTGTAGATTTCTAATAACAATAGCGAGTATGCACAGTGGTTTCCAATAAATGCTTTTCCCACGAGGCGTCAGCTGGGTTGTCGCAGCCTGTCCCATCCTGGAATGACTCTGCCAAAAGGAGCGAGAGCAGTCCTGTCTTTTGGAGAAGACAAGGAAAAAAAAAAAAAAAGATTAAGAAAAGATTGGCAATCTGAATTGACTAATCGCTTCAAAAAGGTCATTTTCAGTTCTGGGTGCCTGCACTTTGATCTAGCACTCCTCTGGCACTGGAATGCACAGACATCTACTGACATGAGTTTGTGTCAAGAGGAAAACCAAACTCAAACATACATAGGTAAAGTTTGAAAGAAAGTGTTGGGAATAGAGAGTGAAACTCATGCTTAAAAGAAAGAAAGTAATTGATATAAATTGTTAGGTTGAAAATGTTTAACGCCTAAATTAGATGCTTGTGCCTTTTTGGGGGACCAGGGATTTTATTACACAGCCAAACAGCCAGCTGTTTACCTTGGGGTTTTGGTGACATGACTTATGTTTTCAGGTTATTCTATCCATGAATTCAAAACCCCGTGCTGAAATGTGGCTGTATATGTTTAGTCATAAAAAGGTTCTTGTATTTCTCTAGTCTGCCTGGCTCTTGTGTCTGCCGGCTTGGACCCCCTTTACAGGAGAGCCTGCATTTGAACTACTTCAGAGCTTGAGCTTCATCCAGCTCAGAAAAGCTTGGCTGGTCAGTGTGAACAGAAACAAATGACTTTGAAGCCTGCAAACTTAATTCTGCTTCATTTTTGCTGGGTTTGCACAACTTTAATGACCAAGAGGTGAAACATCCATTTAAACAGAATCAGAATCTGGTTCTGGACTTTCAGATTCAATTTTAAAAAGATTTTTAATCCTGCCAGCGTTCACAGTTATGTATCTGGAATAGTTTAAAATTTAAGAAACATTTTAAGGGATCCTATGTGGGTAGGGCTGACGAAGGAGAAATACCTTTCTCTTTGCATTTTCACATGGCCTGCCTTTGCCAGAACTCTTGCCTGTTTTCTGTACCAAGTTGGCAGCCAGACCTTGCAGGTCTAAATGAAGCGTTACTGAACAAAGGCACTTTATGTTTTGAACTCTGTGCCCTGAGTCTACACCACCAGCCTGGCCAGGCATTTATGTTAAATAAGGTCAACAAATATAGACAAGCTGTGTTTTGCAAATTAAAACAAAACAAAACAAAACAAAAAAGCGCCTTTCTTTAATTCTGCCTCTTTCTTGTTTCACAGGCAAGAAGAGAAACCCTGGGCTGAAAATTCCTAAAGAAGCATTTGAGCAACCACAGACAAGCTCCACGTAAGTCTGCAAACACTAAGGCAGAATAAAAAGAAAACCACGAACTCCAGCTGCCTTCCAGCCTTTGCTAGCGCCTGCGCTACCACGGCCAAGGGCCAGCGGCCGGTCACGGCCAGCACCTGGGGCTCGTGCTTGCAGGTCTGGGGTAACTGGGACCCTTCATGAGGAACAGGGGCAAAATGCCTAGGTTAATTTGGGGACCATTAGGGAGGATAATAACAGCCCTTGTATTTCTCTCGTAGCCCCGGGTACAACCAGGGAGTCTCAGCCCATCACCCTCTACCCATCACTACACGTGGTACATGGCTCATGTGCTGCTTAATGATGTGCCCAGGAAAAGGAAAAAAGAGAATGGGCACCCAATTTTAATTGATGTGACCCTTCTGCCACCCAGTTTGAGTAACTAATGCATTTGGTCAAGGCATAAAAATGCACACCCTTCCCTACATAGTCAGCCTTGCAAAAGAAAACCCTGTGTTTTTAAGTTGCAACTCCAGCCCGCCTGACTTTCTTTGCTTCCTTGAGGATTGATTTTTATTAGCCTGTTAACCCATGCTGTATGACTTAAGCAATCATTTACAGTGGTTTTAGACCTTTATGCCCATTTAATCCATTTTTCATACAGGCTGGCAGAGATTTGGTGCTTGCCACCTGGCTCGCCTTTCGCAGTGAATCTCTCTGGGTTCCTGCACAGGGAGGTTGGATGTGAGAAATGCCAATTGCAGCAGTTTCCTTCCTGTTCTCTTTTTGGGGTGACTTTGTGGATCTTGGCTGTAGATCTTTGCAGGATCTATTGCTCCTGCAAAGCAAGGAGACTGGTTAGGCTGCTCAGGGCTGCAAGGGCTTCTGTCCTGCTGGTGTGAGGGGATAGCCTAGGGGACCGTGTGGGTTGTATTTATTCATTGAGGGAAAAATGATCTTTATAAGGAACATTTCACATCTTTACCCTTTTCTCTCCTGCAGGCCACCCAGAGATCTAGACTCCAAAGCCTGTATCTCTATTGGTGAGGAGGTAAGACTAGGAGTTATGGTGAGGAGAAGACCTCTGGGGACGGGTGACCATCCTGGGCTGGCTGCTGTGGTGCTGACTGCTTGTCCAGGCAGGCTGCTCGTGGGATTGCTTAACTTCACCCCCCCCAAAAAGGGCAGATTAATAAACAGCAGCTATTAAAAAAAAATGTAGCCCATTTTGCTTGAAATGGAAGGCAGTTGCTGGATGAATAAAAGCTAAGCAGAGCCAGCCTGGGAGCTTGTGTGAGCCCTGACAGCCACCTCCAGCCACAGAGAACTGACTAGTGTCTGGTGTTTGTGCTTCTCCGACAAGGGCTGTCTGCGTGGGACCCACGGCCCCATGGCCAGCTGCAGTGTGACCTACTGGTTGTCACCGCTTTGATGAACATGCCTCCAAATGCTCACCCTTTGCATCCCATTGCACCTGGGTCCCCTTCATGTTTTCCACATTAGAAATTCCTTCCTTGCTTCAATAAGGTGCACCTAGTCCCCTGGAAATAACAATTATAAAGCAAGCGGATTGCTGACAGCAGATTTTACTCTCCTTTGCAGTTCCTTTGCTGATTTAAAGCCTTCATCCAAAGTATTTCCTTTCACTAATATAGAAGGTCTTCTCATCAGGAGTCTAACTCAAGGCAGATCTTCCTGTCCTGGAAGCAAATCCTTCTGACAGCATGGAAACCAGTCCACCTGATGTTATAAAAAAATAGCAGGGAAAAAACAAAACTGAGGACAGCTATTTTGATAGGAGAAAATGGCACAGCAGCATTCATACAAGCAATTTAAAGCTGGGCAATAAATTTATTAGGTGCAAAAGATAGGCCTCGGTGTCGGCAAGTTAATTTATGAAGTGAAATGCTAATCCAATAGTGTTTTATAATGTCTATCTTTGGATGCTTTTTTTTTTTTTTTCATTTTGGATTTTGTATTTTCCCTGGCATGGAGCAGGGGCTGGAAGGTGGAAAGAGTGTGAGATGCCTCTGGAGCAAAATGGTGCAGCACTGAGGCATAGAAAATGCCTGCTGCTAGAGCAAGCGCCCGCTCCAAGAAAATCATTTCTCCCCTGCAGTCCCAGGGACGAGGAAAAGCTCAAGCACTCCAAAAAGGCTCCATGCACAGAGGCAGAGAGCCCACGTTGGACAGTGCAAAGAGAAACGCACTTGTAAAACCCGGAGCTCAGTCTGTTTTATGGGTGCAGATATGTGGCTATCTCAGAGGGACCAACATGCCATGGCTTGCATTTCCCATAGATCTGTTACCTATTTGTCCAGCCAAGTTCCTTTAGGATGTGCTCCCTTTTCCACCAGCCTTTCTACACTCACCCCTGATCCCTAGAGAAAGCCACTTTCCCTCTCCTCCCTTTAAACTTGGCTGCTAAATTTAAGAGTGGCCTTGAGAGAGTCAAAGTCCTTTCTTGGAGAGGGTCCCGTTGAACAGTAGGAGCAGTGTCAGGCAGTCAGGGATGCTTAAATCTCTGCCGTAACACAAAAATGTTAGTCAGGGCTCCTTTTGCATGCGACGGAGCTGCGAGTGAATGACCGGGAGCCCGAGCGCACAGTAACGCAGTGTATGGGCCCTGCACGCCGTGGCATCCCCAGCCAGCACATTTCAGGCTGCAGGTTTTTTTTTGCTGCGCCGGCAAAAAGCGGTGTGGGATTATGCACTGTGAATCAGTTCATTATAACCGCTTCTTTCTGTAGGATGATTGACTGATGTGGTTGTGCGTTCAGCAAACAGAATGGCTGGTTTTAGTAGCAAAAGCATATTTTAAACATCCAAAAATAATAATAAGCAAAAAATAGAGCTGCTGCACAATATCGCGGCAGAAAGGAGAAGGGCAGGTTAGAATGCAGGGCTCCAAACAAAGTCATCCTTTGTGTAAGGCCAGGAGAAAGAGATCTCGAATGCTAGACAAAATAAATCCTCTGTGGTTTAAAAATGGGGCACACTCAGCTGGTATTTGGCCCATCTACAGGTCTGGAGAAATAAGCTTTTACAGGCCTTAAAAAAATGTGGAGATATTTCCATAATTGTTTGTGGGAGGAGGATGGAAGGGGGAAAAAAAAAAAAAAAGCCTGAAGGTGATTCCTAGGGGAGAAGCTGCCGTGATGTTTTTCATCCCAGCCCTTAAATGATGGAGAAGCTGAAAGTGCTGGCAGCTGAAGGTGGTGGGGAGGGACACTCGGGTGCGGGTGGCTGGGGGGAGAGCATCCCACCGAAAGAACGGTCCTTCCTGCGCCCGCCCTGCTCAGGATGCTCATTGACACAGGCTTCCTGCTGATGCCGTTAGGAGGCACATCCTCTTCAGAACTCTGCTAATTACTGCACGGTAGTTAAGCCTCCTGGCAGCCCCTGAGGACCATGATTTTGTTTCTAGCCTCATGAACACAGACAGGGAGGGGGATGCACAGAGGTGAATTTATGTGCCAAGCAGGGCTGGATTTTAGGGGTGTTTCACTCCTTGCATAGCACATGATGACCTTAGCACTGGTGCTTTTTTCCCCTGCAGAACTTTGAGGTGAAAGCCGATGACCTGGAGCCCATCTCCGAGCTGGGACGAGGTGCGTACGGGGTGGTGGAGAAGATGCGGCACATGCCTAGCGGGCAGATCATGGCAGTGAAGGTAGAGTGAGCCTCCCGAGGTGCTTTCTGTCTGTATCGTTGTGTGTGGACACCCTCTGTGCACATTTCTAATCTCACTTGTTCTCACGCATGCCTTTACTGGGATCGACTTCTTTCTGTACGGAATCCTCTTTCTACACAGGCGCAAAGAGTGCCGAGGTAGATTTGGGCCATTTAACCAAGAGAAGGGATGTGTTTTAAAAATATGATGCTCAATGTGTTTCCAGCATTGTAGTGCCTACGAACATATTGTTCACCTTTGTCTACAATATTCCTGTTTTCACTAGGATTTTACAAGCTATTTGCCATCATTTTTTAAATATGCGTATTTTTTCCTAATGTAGATATACCCTCCAATTCAGGGCTCTGCACACTAATTGTAATTGTAACGAAGAGTGTACTGTAAATTTAATTGCATAAGATAATTTTCTTCAGCTGGGACTTTTTTAGCCTCTTTGGAACAGGAAATTTTTGGTGGAATTTTCACATTTTGTCTGCTACAGTGGCATCTTGATTCATGACAGGCTTGTAGATACTATTATGAAATTTTTCATAATAACAGTTTAGACTCATAAGCTTGCAGCTTAGGGAAATAGTCATGGGAAAATTTGTAATTTGGGAAGGACCAATTTTTGCTTGGCTGAATTTTAGCTCAAGTTTCCTTTCAGAATAAGAAAAAAGAGAAAAAAAGATGTAGAGCTGGAAGCTATGAGCAAACTGAAGGAAAATTCTTAGCTCCTCAGTTGTGGATAGACTTTGCTGTGGATGCTGGGATGTGTCTCAGGGCCTCTGTGCTCTGTATTTGGTCTTTGTGTTTGCTTTGGTGTTCACCAAAAAGCAAAAGACCTCTCTGAGTATGATGGAAGGCCTGAAGAGGGTATGGCAGGAACATTCAGGCTATTACTTGCATCTCTGATGCTGAACAGTTTAATTCTATCACATTACTGACCTCAGTTGGACTGTGTCATGCCCCTTTGTGGTGCTTCCCAGCTGAGGGTCTCCAGGTGTTTCACGTAAATGACATCTCTTCCCTGGGAGACTGGGAAATGTCCATTTTCCAAAGCCATGGGGAGGAGTTGGGCTCTGGCTGCAGGGCTGGAGCCCTCTCTTGTGACCAAAGTCTGCTGTTGTAAATAAATGTCCACCGCAGCTCCAAAAGTCATGGGTTTTCACCAGCCTAGAAGTTGATTTCCTGCTCCGTTCTCCTCTCCCAAGCCCCAGTGACTTTTGGCTGTTGCAAAAAGAGTGGCGTTTGCAGGGAAGAGCAAAATCACCTGCCCTTTGGGCTGAGGTGAGAAGACCCCTTCAGCCACCATTGCGCTGTTGCACCAGGGTGCTCCTACTGCGGGTGCTGTGCTTCTGATGTGCCTATGACAAATAGGTATGATAAAACAGTAATGCAAAGAGGTGTGATAAAAGGGTAAAGGTGTGATGTCAAGGCACCGAGGCCAGCACGGGTATGGCTGTGGTATGGCGGTGCTGACAGCCAACGCTAAAATGCTTTGTCTTCCAGCGGATCCGAGCCACCGTGAACAGCCAGGAGCAGAAGAGGTTATTAATGGATCTGGATATCTCCATGAGGACGGTTGATTGCCCCTTCACTGTCACCTTTTACGGGGCACTTTTCCGAGAGGTATGGCATCCTGGAGATCCGCCGTGCTTCCCCTGGGAGACTGGATCCTGTCCCAGGCTCTGAATTCCCATGCCTAGACTCCCTCCAAGTGCCAGGGCTTTAATCTCCATCTAGACATGGAGACTTGGTACAATATGGATTTGCTCAGTCCTGGCCTAAGGATCTGTCACGTACAGTTACTTCTTGGCGAGCGAGGAGAGATGCGGTCCCACGTGAGGAGGAGCCAAGGGCAGGCAAGCCCCAGTGCCAGGAATGTGCGAGGCCCTTGCGCTGAGACGTTGGGGCTTGGTAGTGAGTTTGAGTGATGGGGACACCAACTCACAGCCCGGTCCGTTAGTGTTAATATTGTCCTGACTTGCAATGAGAAAGCCACATGGAGGAAAAATGTGGAAAGCTCTGCAAAGCAAGATTTATTGAAGAGTTTTAAGCATAGCTCTGCAGAACTGAACTTTTCCTGGCTGAGCATTTGCAGTGACCTGAACGTGTAGGAGCCTCAGTCCCGATAACTTTCTGGGCTCCTAAATCAGCGGGACTCTGCTTTGGGAAAAGACAGCAGAAAATACATCCTAAATGGTAGTGAAGGTGGACAGCACTTAATTCCAGCTGGAGAGGAGGGAAAAAGAAAGCCCAGTACAGTTTTGTTGAATGAGTTTTAAAAGACAGGGAAGAGGCAAACAGGCCAGCAAAGGGCAAGTGCCAAAGAAGACCTTTGCATGTGAAAGGAAAGGAATGGATGCTTCATTCCAGTAGGCAGATATTTGCTTTCTTTATCCTCCAGGGAGACGTGTGGATTTGCATGGAGCTGATGGATACCTCACTGGACAAATTCTACAAACACGTCATTGACAAAGGCCTGACGATTCCTGAGGACATCTTAGGGAAAATAGCCGTCTCTGTGAGTATTAGCAGGGCAAGGAGGGAAGGGAAAGGGCATTTCTCTTCTAAGCCAAGTCCTACATGACCCAAGCTCCCTGCTGTATTTGTACCAGGAAGAGCATGGTCCATGGGCCAGCCCACGTGGACATTCCTAAGCTGGCTTCCAGTATCTGGTCTGAGGTGATGTTATTTATAAGCCATAAGCAACCCAAAATGTGCCTATACATGTAATTGAGAGATGGCACAGTGTTAGATGTGGGGAGGGCCCTGCAGCGACTTTGCCTTCTCATTAGGGTCCTGGAGCTCCTGGGAGATCCCTGGGTACCCACTGTCACGTTGGGTTGCCGTGAGGGTGCAGGACTTGTGGGAAATGTAGTTCCTTCCCTGCAAGTAGGTCCAGTGAGGATGGGGTGGATGAAGCCAGATAGAATTTCCTCCTCACCATGGTGCTGCCAGCTGTGATTCACTCTGGATTTGTTGTTTCAGATTGTAAAAGCACTAGAACATCTACACAGTAAGCTCTCCGTGATCCACAGAGGTAAGTGCCAGGCGCACAGCCATGACCATGCTGGTATCTGTCTGCCCTGTGCCGCGTGCTCTCAGCTTTGCAAGGGCTGGCCTTGCGGCCAGGCACAGGGCTCTCAAAATATCCGAGATAAAATGGGCCTTTGACAGCAAAAATATGCCCCAGCATCTCATGACTAGCACAATGTAGTCAGAGGAAATGTCTGCTGGTTTGCTCTTTAAAAACTGCATGCTGGTCCCAGCGTTGCCCCGAGGTGGAGAAGTGAACTCCAGCCTTATTGTGCTGGCAGAAAAAGGGCTGTTTCCCCCTGGGTTGCATTTCCCTAATGCACAGTCTACATCCATGGTCTGCTTCAACACCTCTGCAAAATTAAAACAGACTTTTCCTTCTGACCTTGGTGGGCTTTGGATCAGGCTTTGCAAAGGCTTCTTCCCTGGCTCGACGGCTCCATGTTGACGTGCAGTGAGAGGCGTCTCCATGCCAGTGTGATGCCTCATGCAGTGATCTGACCATCCTCATCCCCTTCTGTGAGCTTCCCTGAGCACTGGTGGGGCAGAACAGTTTGATATCTAAAATAGCCTCAAGTGAAGTCGTAAATACCCTCCTTAAACTCTTCTGACATTTTCCCCTCTAGAGCATCTCAAAGATGCCATGAACACACTTAGAAAGAAACAAATTTGCAGTGTTGCTGCTTGACACCTTTATTTTTAAAGGGTCATTTTCAATTTGTCATGAGGAGGAAAAAGCCCTCTCTGGAGTGTGTGACTGCCGGGGAAAGGAGCATCTCAAGCGAACAAAGTTCAGCTCTAGCAGTCATATTTTGTACACTCTGCATGTGGCTGGGGGTTGAGTTTCTGCCTTCTGTATCATTTACAGTAGGTGGAAAATGCTGCTCGGCTTCTGGATTTCTGTTTACTTGTTTGATTTCCACTGAAAATTGTCTTATTTCAGCATAGTAACAGATGGGTGAGGATCTCAGCTACCTGAAGCTTTTGATTGCAAAATGCTGATTAGAGAGCAGATGTTAACGAACTGTAAACCACCCAATTCTAATAAGCAGGATTCAAAAGCAGCTTCTGGCCTCCTTCGGATGGTGTTTCAGTTCTTCTATTTAATAGTTTATCACATGTAGACAGGGGACCTTCTTGCAGAAGAGACCTCTTATTTCTGGGTGGCAGCAGGGAAAGGATTGCTCCCTTTCTGAGGATCAGTGCTGGGACGAGAAAGCAGGGTAGCCTGCGCTACCTGCGCTGTGTTGAGATTTCATCTGGGGTTAGCCTCACAGGGAGCAATTGCCTGCTGTGCAGGAAAGCACCTCCATGCTCTCCTGGATATCACTTATTCTTTCTATGCCTTAATTTCTCTTTCTGATGGTGATTGTAACTGCCTTCATGGGCATGATGCAAGTGTGAATGCACCAAGGATTATAAGGCCGTGATGGGAAGCAGATAAATCTGGCAGTAATAAATAGATGAGACACTGGCCTGATTTCCATAAGGTGTGGAGCACCCACACGCCTGCTGCTGTTCACATTGCCTTCAAGCTTGGTATCCTTAAAATTAGAGGCCATTTCTGAAATCTTGGTCCTTGCCTTAGTTTACTGCTCCCTCCTTCTGCAACCCCTGCTCCTCTTCACCCTTTCCTGCCCACCCCTCATCCTTTCCCCATGGGTTTTTCCTTTTGCTGGCATGAGACCAGATCCAGCTGGGGACTTGCCAGCGGTCCAGCCGTTTGCAGACACCCTCTGGAGATGCCCCCAGCCCCGCTCGGCTGTTCCCCTGTGAGCGCTCTGATGTCCGTGGCCACCCCTGCGCAGCGGGATCCGATGGTTACGTGCAGGGTTACCTCCTACTCCCCCAAATCAGAGAGAGGAGTCTGGCAGCGAAGGGACACTTGCAGGACATATGACAGGCCCATGAGGCAGTCACCTGAACTTGCAATACCCGCGGCCAGCCGGGTTTCTGGCATGCACAAAGCACAGGGGTTTGCACGGGCACCGTTGGTGCCCTCTGCTGATAGGAAGCTCTTTGGCTTTTTTTTTGGCTTGGCACAGCCACCCATGCATGACAGTGACTGTGGTATGTGTTCCTTCTTGCAGATGTAAAGCCCTCTAACGTGTTGATCAATACGCAGGGGCAGGTGAAAATGTGCGATTTTGGAATTAGCGGTTACCTCGTTGACTCGGTTGCTAAAACTATGGATGCAGGATGCAAACCCTACATGGCTGTAAGTTGAGCCACGGAGAAGCTGCGTGTGAAAGCTGCTGTGGGACAGCCAGAGGAACATGAGCCTGGGCATCGGGTCATCCTAAAGGGGGAAGGATCAGCCTCCGGCATGTGTCCTGGGGACTCGTTTTGGAAGACGTATCCCTGAAGTTACTCGTAAAGGGGCAGAGAGGGGAGACGGATCTCAGGGGTCAGATCAGATCTCCTAGGCACAGCTTCTTGCTGCCTTATCACCTCCCTGTGACCTTGGGGAAGGCTCTGTAATTACTCCGTGTTGCATTTTTTGCCATTTGCCCTGTGGGGACAATAGTACTTTCCATCTGGGAGGAAAAACAGTCCCCAGACTCCTCCGGGGAGCTGCTGTTTGTGATTTGCTCTGTGTGGAGCACTTGCACAGGGTGAAAATGGTCCCGGAGAATTGAAACGTGTCACCCCTACGTGCAGATGTGCTGGGTCAGCTCCACCAGCCCAGTCCCTGGTGCAGGTATCATCTGCTTCTGGTGACCCATTTCATTGCCTGCCCTTACCGGCAAGGATCTAGGACCAGATCTGGCCCCTTGACAACCCAGGGAGCAAGCTGGTGGCATGGACTAAGTGGCCCTGGGCTGTCACCATGAAAGACCCCTCTTAGGTCGGCGTGGGCATCGTGTTGGGGCCATCCCTGTCCCTCAACTGCCTTTGTCTCTGTTCACAGCCTGAAAGAATTAACCCGGAGCTGAACCAGAAGGGATACAGCGTCAAATCCGATATCTGGAGCCTGGGGATCACAATGGTAGGGAGTCCTCGGGGCTCGCAGTGATGCCAGGAGGGTTGAGCGTTGCTCATGCAGTCATTTTCCCCCCCCGACACTGGTGGCACTGGTTCCCTGGGAAGGTGGTGGGGGTGGAAATGGGAATACACCTCTGGGGATACCAGGGAGCACGCCGCAGGGTTGAGGGGAAGGAGGATGGAGGTGCTTTGACAACTCCTCGCTGTCTTTGTATGTGTCCGTGGGTTGCCACCCTGGTGGGGACGACCCCGCTGCCGTGGCCGTGGGCTGCCGGGAGATGGCAGCATGGGCTAAGGCGAAAAAGAGTCCGGCACTGCACATCTGTCGCCTTGGAGCAGGTTGGATTTCAATACCAAAAAAATACTCCCCAGCACTTAGAAATTAAGCAAAGTCCCCCTCAGAAGAAGAGGGATGGGTGGCATCTCCCACACAGCATTTAGGGGGAATCCGTCTGCTTGCAGAGTCGTTTTATAGCGCAATTACCCTTTGCAATGTTGTTTGTTTTGGTTTTGTTTTTTTTTAACCTCTAAACTTTCCCAAGCGACGTCTAACACGAGGGTAACGGAGGATTGAATATGGAGACTGCTGGGTCTCCTCAGGCCTTTCCCTTCTGCCGGGGGAGGTTAAGCAAGACGTTGTGGCCAGCTGGGGTGAGGAAATGCCACGTATTTCTGCGGCGCCTAAAAAAAACCCCACAGTCCTGGGTGGGCACACAGGAATCTGGAATCCGTGGGGCGTCCTCCCCCTGATGCCTGAGGCTTGGGCTCTGTCTCCCCAGATCGAGCTGGCCATCCTGCGCTTTCCCTACGATTCCTGGGGGACGCCCTTCCAGCAGCTCAAGCAGGTGGTGGAGGAACCGTCGCCGCAGCTCCCGGCAGAGAAGTTCTCGGCGGAGTTTGTCGATTTTACCTCGCAATGGTAAAATACCCCCTCGGCCCCGCTTGCCCCGGCCCTGCTCACCCCGGCCCTGCTCGCCTCCGCCATGCTGAGGAGGGCGGGTGCCGGCAGCCTCCTCCATCCCCGTCCCCACAGGCGTCTCTCTGGGGTACACCCCAAATTTTTGAACAAAATATCCCCCCTCCCCGGGAAAGGGACGAGCCTTCATGCCCTCACTGAGCTCTGAGGGCTGGGCTGAGGCCTGGTGCCGCGCAGGCAACACGCGCCCTTTGCCAGAGCACTGGTGATGGCGGTTGTGGGGGGCTTCTTCCCCACCTGAGGTGGTGAGGAACAGGCTTGGTCGCCTTGGGGGGACAACGCAAGAGGAAGGGATTTAGGAGATTTTCTCATCCAGTCATCCCATATCAACAACACAGGGTGTCTGTGGCCGGGCCGGCAGCACAGGCAGGTGCAGGCAGGCAGGTCTGTGGAGCCCCTGATGTCTCCGGGGCTGATGTGGGGTGAGGAAGGGGAGCAGGGCACAAAATGGCTGCCTCCTCCTGCCTCCCACTCCGGGGACACACACACACACAGCTCTGAGGGCAGGGACGGTGCGGATTTTGCCCCGTGGTGGCCCCCGTCGGCAGTTGTCCCGCTACCGGGGCCCTCCGGCTGCTGTGCTGCTTTCCGTGGGACTCGGAGCTGGAAGCAGCGGGAGAGTTTGGCTGCGGTGTAGGAAAAGGGTTGGAGCAGATGTGCGCTGTCTGGAGGTTGCGAGAGCTGCATAAAAGCACAGGCTCTCCCAGCACCCGAGGAGACTCACAGCTGCCCTCATCGTATGGTTCAAAGAGAGCTGGCGGCAGCCCCGCGGCTCCTGACTGCTTCTCCCTCCAGCTTCCCTGGAAACCGCCTGGGAGGCGTTTTTATTTTCCAGGCGCTGCAGTGCCATCCACGGCTTGCCAAGTTGGCAGGTGGATGGTGGGTTTGCGTGGTAGCCAAGAAAGGACGGCAGATCGACAAATACAGAAATGTGAGACTGTTCCCGAGCTGCCAGCGTCAGGGCCTGGAGCCCGGCCGGCTCTGCTGTGACCCAGGAAGGGGATTATCAGCCACTCCTGCCCAGGGACTTTAAGTACCGACACTCAGATTCTTCGGAGTCTTGTTCAAACATGTTTTCGAGGTGCCTGTGATTCAGCTGCACGCCTCTACCGACCCACGCTGGGGAATACCTGCCCGTGCCCACACTGCTCTGTGTCTATCAGAGGTGGGAGCTGGCTTGGAAAAACCCTCTCACAAAATGCCCACCGTTTTTGCAAGGCCCACACTGAGATTTTGGACCAGCTGCCTTTCTCCCGTGCTGCTGGCTCGCTACTTGTTATTGCAAAGTTGCCTGTTTGTGCCAGGCAGGCTGTTGTTCCCCACTGAATATTTTGCTTTTGCAAGCACGGTGTCTTGCAGCTATAGCTGTGGGCTGATTTAGGAGTAAGATAGCCGCAGCCATTCATGATGGTTGCAGCGAGAAGAATAACCCTGTTGAGGTGCACTCATGACTTGAAAGCTCATCCTTTGGGGAGCACGTGGCGGTTGCTCTCTTTGCAAATCCTGTCCTCCAGGATCACTGAAGATCCCTCAGCGCCAGTGGAGTGGCGTGGACTCAGAAAAGTGCGCTTTGGCTCCAGATTGCACTAGTTTTGTGTTGTTGGAGCCTGAGAATTTTTTCTGACCCGGAACCAGGTTACATCAACTCAGTGTATCGAGATTGGCCTGGCTCGGGCCTATCTCAAATTCAAGAGGTCGCAGAGTGAATCGCACCGTCTGGTGCCTGGGGCAGTGAAAGTCTGATTACCTGTAGCCACTGCAGGGAAGTTCCTGGGATGTCTGAGTCAGGATCAGATCCAAATACGGCTCTTCATTCCTGAAGATTAACATTGATTTCAGTAACTTGTCACCAGATTTCCTGGTATTAGTAACCCGGGAACAAGGTTTTTGTTTGTAGAGGGTCTAAATTAAGAGGATTGTACCCAAATCCTGCTTCTAGACACACCTAACCTTCAAATTCACCTTAGCATCTCGGCTTGGGCTGCTTTTGAGCTCAGAGGATGTGACACATCCCGTACCTTCAGTTCGGCAATATTGGCACGTATCGTTACTAGGTTCCTCTGTTCATTCACAACATGACACTAAACATGAGCCTGCTACACACAGCAAGCAGGAAATATCTATTCAGTGTGTGTACTCCGCTTCCTCTGGGCTCCGGCAAATCCCAGCAGAGGAGCGACTTATCATCGCCGAGGTTCTCACTTTTGTTTTGCTCAGTGTGACACCTTTTCCCCGCCACCGACGTGTACGTGTGTGAAGATCTTTTCAAGTTGCTCCAAGTGTCTTTCCCCTAAATACACTGTCAGGAAGTGAGTAGAGATTACGTCCTGTCTTTTAAAAGCTATTTTCTGCTGGAGGGAAACCAAAATAACTTCCAGCTACAACCCTCCAGAGCCATCTGTTGTAGGAGAGGAGAAAAAAAGGATGTCCCATGTAACCGTCCCTGCTGATAACAGCGTGGTGATAAACAAATAGTTGTACACGTGCTTCGGAGCCACTTGGTCGCTGCTCCCAATCAGAGGTTGGAGGCTGTATCCATGCCCTTAGTCACTGGCCTACTGGATAGTACCCAAAAACCCAATTGTACCTGGCCCCCAAGCAACAGGCAGTGCCTTGACTGGTGTATATGGTGTCTCTGGATCTCTTGTTTGACCTTGAGCTCACTGCACTTGTGTGTACCCAGCACTGTGTGCAGGCTGTGTTGGCTGTAGGTGTCCTCAAGGCCTAAAGCTGTTCGCTTAACATACGGATGAGTAGTTGAACTTAATTCTACAGAGACTTGAAACCTGGCTTTTGTCATGGTATAATTTTATGGCCTTGCTTAAATTGCACACAGAATGTAACTTCTAAATTTTTTCTTCTTTGTTTTTCATTAAAGCTTGAAGAAGAATTCCAAAGAACGGCCAACATACCCAGAGCTTATGGTGAGTGTGCCTGCATTAAGCAGTGTATTGCTTCAGAGCTGAGATGGATTGCAGTGAGATGCTGAAGACAGGGTTTCCAGTAGTGACTGGTGATTTGGGATACTTAGCATCTCTTTTTTCATAACAGATGTGAGAATCATGGCACTTCAGGGTCTCAGGAGGGTGACTGCAAATCAGAGATGCTCTTTGAAATCTCGCTCAGGTGCTATTGCAGTCAGATCAAGGGAGAAAAATCTCTTAACAAATTTGCTAAGGGACAAGAATGAGGCTGTGAAGAATCAGTTAGCAAGGATAAAATCCTCCTCTTGGGTTTGTGTGATGGCTTCAAACACCTAAGTGAAATGGATGTATCACGGATGCTCCACGTGGGTTGCAGGAGCTGAGTGGCCTGCTAGGCTTTACTGTCAAGGTGCCTTGGAGAGGAGACTTTTTGGACAGAGTAATTCCTGGATGTTAGGGACAGGGACGAGTCTGTGACTAATAATTCCGGTTATTGAATTTCATCTGCTGCTTAGAGACTGTTTGCTGTGAGCACGTCTAGGACAGAGGAATAACTAAGGAAGAAAATGCTGATAAAGGCTTATGACAGGGGAAATGCAAGGCAGTGCAGGGCTTTGAGGTCAGATGCACTTAACTGCTGATGAACTCCCAGCAGTGCAGACACTGGTGTGTACTCAGCCAGAGCTCTGGGCTGGAGCTGGCAAGAACAGGGTCTGTGGTGAGATTTTTCTGCTAGGGCTCCACAGCTTCACGGCCTCTCTCTCTCCTGACTTTCTGGTATTGATCCTGGTGCTCCTAATAGCTGGCAAAAAGCAGGAGAGCTTAGGAAGTCAGTGTTTCACTCCCATAAGCATCTAGTCCCTTTTTTACTCTCACCTGATTCACAGCTTCCTAAAGGCAGGAAGGTGCCTAACTTTGTTATTTCTGAAGATCCTGACCCAAATGCTTGCCTGTCCCTACATGCCCACCCCTGTCTGGTGTCAAGATCTGGCAAGATCTTCTGGGTTAAGGGTGGAAACTGCTGCAGAATTTCCTCAGGCATTGGTGTCTCCTACCCCATAACTTGTAGGACATGCGTTATACCATCCAGGGGGTCAGCCTCCCTGCTACCTCACTCTGTCTGCTTGGAGGTGTTGGGACCTCTGTGGTGTGAAGGTACCAGGGTTTAAGGTGCTCTCTAGCTGCAATACATGCTGGAAATCCATGTACCTTTTGAACGTGAGTTGTAAGCAATGAATAATTCCTGTGGCATTTCTTGCTAGGCCCTGTAATGCAATTAGACTATATATAGATCTGATTTACACACAGTTTGCCCAAACACTGGTTTCAAACAAAGGGAGGCCTGAGGTTTAGGGCTTTTTTTTTTCCTTTTTTTTTTTTATTATTGAATAAATACATATATATTTTAAGAAAATTTCTGAAGTTTGCCAAATGGCCTTTTATCAAAAAGGTTCACCGGAGCAGCTCCGTCTGTTGCAGCATTAATACGCATTGGCAAGCAAGTGCATTTCTATTGAATTAGGTTCTTGGATCACCTCTCCAGAGTATCTCAATGCTGTGGTATTTTATGGCTGACATGAATGTTGTGAGGTCCTGTGGCTGAGGGTTGCTGTTTTGTTGTTTTTTTTTCTCTCTCCTCTCTCTCTTATGGCATTAAGTTGCGGTACTGGATTGGACTTGTCATTTAGACCAAGACTGCTCCCTTGCTTTCCTGTGGAATTGAGGTTTCTCATGGAAAGTATGACTCTGTGCTATCTTGAGCATCAGGAAAACTGATACGGATGCTTAATTTCATTTGAAAACCCACTTCCCCAGGTGAAGTGGAGCATGAAACTACTGCAGGACTCCTCCCCGGTGGTCTGCACATTGCATGGAGCACATCCCACCTGGCACGGGGTGTTTTGTGCTATAACCAGACTCAGTTGTTGCAAAGGGCTTGGATTCACTGAGAGACAGGGCTGGAGGCCACTACTGCCGCCCATGTCACGCTTGCGGGTTCTTCCAGGCTACAGAAGCTCTGCTTTGGGTGCGACTTAGCTGGGATGTGAAAGCAGTGGCATCACGCTGGGATAATAGCACGGCAGGCCATTTGGGCCATCTCTCTGAGAGCTATTCAGGACACTTCGATTCCCGTGACTGTCTGACCCAGGGAGACCTTGAATTATGTCTGGATCCTTGCCTCAGCCCATTTCAGCTCTGTTTCCCACATAATTGTGCTTCCTCTTCCTTGCTGGTGTGTCTTTGGGTTGCTTCCCAGCTGCTCAGAGCTGCCTCTTTTTGTTCACTGGATAACTTTCCGCTCAAGCCCACCTTGGAAAGTCTCTTTTCTTTGCTCATCTTCTCCCTCCACTCGGCCACTGCCATAAAACAGCCAACGCTCAGGGTCTGAGGTGAGGGGCAGCTTTGAAAAACCCTGGAAACCTCAAGTTGTCTTTAAAAATCTGGCTTGAAATGAGAGGGTCAGGAATCAAACTGAGCACCCCCAGCCTGTGTATAGGAAGCACAACAGCATTTTGCACAGACTGGAGGTCACCTGTGAGCCCTGCAGGGCCCCAGCTGCCTTTTGGTTCTTTCTGAGACCCTCCATACAAATAAATCCAATTAACTGCTAGGACAGCGTGTCGAACAGTGTGTGGTGATTTCAGGTGGATGTTGGCTGACTCCCTGGTAGCAAACTGAGTCACTGGTGCTAGCAGAGAGGGGCTTTGCTGTTGCCGTCAGGGGCATTTCGTTGTGTTTTTTTCTCCTTACACATATTTTTCCATTTGTGCTGAAATGTAGGCAAGATTTTCTGGCAGGATGTCTTCCCATGTTGGTCACGATTAAGTAGTTAAACATACAACTGCGGATGGCTTTCCAGCCGGGATGGCTTTCCTCTTTGCGGTGGTTGGGGGTAAAGTAGCCATCTCCTGCTGCGAGTATGAGCAATTGCAGGGAAGAAATGAGACTCAGAAGTCACCGGAGGGTAAATACACAGATAAAGCAGGAAGCTGAGGGAAAACCCACTACAGTCAGCTTTCCTGCAAGGTTTTCCTTGCTCCTGTTGGAGCTGGCGCACGGTGGGGTGGGTAACCACCGTCTCAAGAGGAGCACATCTCCTCCCTGGGCACCGCAGAGCTGTGAGCCAGCGTGTGCCGAAGGGCATGAAGTGCTAGAGATGGAGGCAGTGTTTTTTAATACTTTCCCTCGCTTTGAGAGCAGCCCAGTTCAGCCATCCCATCCAGGGCAGGGTTTAGAGGGAACCTGAGAGGCCAGCACGAATCTGCAGCCTTCATGAAATGGCCCCTCGGGCTCCCTGACTTGCCTCAGCTGCAAAGAATGGAAAGCCCAATATTATGATGCTAGCAACAAAATCTTTTTCACTGCCTAGAAGACTGTCTGAAAAGGTTTTAGGTTTGGTCCTCAGCGTTGTGAATAATAAACTTTTCTATTTTTTCTTTCTTTTCTTTCCCAGCAACATCCTTTCTTCACCCTGCATGAATCCAAAGAGACAGACGTCGCCTCTTTTGTCAAACTCATCCTGGGAGACTGAGAACTGGACTTGTAAATGAATTGCCCTTCTGTGGACTGGTGGGTGCAGGGGAGGGGCGCGTGGCAGGACTTGTCATGAAAGCACCAACAGAAAGTCGCTATGTTTTGTTTTGTTTTGTTTTTATTCTGAGAAACCCCCGCCTCGCCGAAGTTTTTAAAAGGGTTCTTTGGTATCCATAGTGACATAGAACGAGCTGGTTAGTGAAATGAATTTTAATAAGGTTGGTAACCTTAAAACAAAAACAAAACAAAAAAAATGTAAAAGAGTGATTTACATATTTAATGACAGTCGAAGTCCCTCTTCCTAACTTTCTCCTCATTCCCTTTCCCTTCCCCCTGAACCAGAATTTGCTTTGTCATGGTAATAGGTGCTATGGTAGTCATGAAGTTGTATGTAGATTTATATTTTGTCCCTTCCATTATTTTAATATTTATGTTAAGTGCTTGATGGAATAGATTTCTGTTTTATATGAGGATGAATGTGTGGTGACGATGGTGATGCTAAATGAGGCCACAGCAAGCAATAGTCATAGGGCTTTGCTGGGGAAAAGGTGTCAAAGGAAAAGAGAAAGAAGAGAAGAAGTGTCTGTGTTGTGGAAAATATTTAATGCTCATCGTAAAAAGAATTTATAAACAAGGATCTCAGCTCAGCTACTCGAGCTGCTTTCGCAGCATACGAGGCAGCATCACTGTAAGGGAGGGAGGCCCCAGCGTCCCGTGAGGTCGCCTCTTCTCCGGACACCGCGCTCCGAGTCCGGCCGGCCCGTCCCGGCCAGCCTGCCACCTGCGGTGCACTGCCAGCCTCCTGCCTGCAGAAGGCCCCTGCCCTACGTCCCACCGACTTACTCTGCTATATCAGGCGGGTGATGAGGTCTGGAGTGGGAAGACATTGCTGGGGTAGTGTCTGGGACAAAAGCTCCAGAGGGAAATAGATTGTCAGATAAGTTGCACAAAGATCAGGAGGAGGCTGCAATGGTCAGTCCCCCACCTGCCCGCAAGCCCAGCAGCATTGCAGCGCCCAGGGCTCCCTTGGGCTGGGGATGAGCTGCTTTGGGCCTAAAAGGGTGTTCCGCTCTTCTTCTCCAGATGAGAAAGGATAACAGTATGCATAGCACGACATCTGTGAAAAATGGGATATCTCAGCGCAAGTTTCCAGGGCTCTCAGCACTGCATCGGCAGCAATCCCTCTGTACTTGCCCACAGACTTTCGGAGTGCTAGTGAGCTCCCCTGGAGCCTGTGCCGGCGTGCGGTTTGGGCTGTGTCCAGCTCTGGTCGGGATGCTGAAGGCAGCCAGGAGTACTGGGCTCCAGCGTGGGCTGCAGGTGTCCCCCACGAGAGCTGCAGCCTGGGAAACCACGCAGGGAAACCACAGCCCACCCCTATCAGGAGCTCGTTGCTGTTGGCCAGGTCCTCAGAGAAAAGCTGCTAGCCAAAGGCAGGAGCATGGGGGCTGTCGGGGTGGGAGGGGAAGACGGCAGCTCATGCTGCTTTTGGGTAACACGGTTACTGTCTAGAGAAAGGGGGGACCGTGCACTGCAAGGTGTTGCTGAGTCTGGAGCAAGGCCACTGGCTCCAGATTGATGCTGGTTTGACTGAGCCAAACCTGCATAGCTGCCTCGCTCGGCTATGAGGTCCTTTGCCTTTGCCCGTGGCTCCTTCCCCCAGCCCTGCAAAGGAGAGTGCCTGTGCGTGCAGCTGCGCCGGGGCATGCACACGTGCCTCGTGCCCCTCCACATGCTTCCCTTCCCCATCCATCGCTTCGGCGCAGACTTTCAGAGTCAAATCCCAACTTGCTCTGCAATATTTAAGTTGTGCAGGATGTAATTCAGCCTGGGATCCAGCCCTTTCTCTCCCAGGTTAGTGGCTCCAGTCTCTGTTGGGGCAGTTTGGGCTTCTGGACTAGTCTAGGTGTCTGTTTGGGAAGCGATCCCTTGGAAGGGCTGATGGGGAGGGTGATATTTAGAGCAGGGGTTCCCGAATGGTGGTACCTCTTGCGCTAGGGACATGCCGACCACTTTGAAGAGGTGCACATAGACACTGCCAGTGTCTGGGCTGGCACTGTCACTGCCACGGCCGTGGCTGGCAGTGCCTGCAGAGGTGGCTGTGAACCCTAAAATACTGCAGCTCTGCCCTGGAGCCAGCATCGAAGGAGATAGGGGAGCATTGCTCGTGGAGATTTATCAATCCTTGTGCCCCTCAGCTGCAGAGCAGGGTGGCTTGAGGAGGGCTCACAGGAATCGGGCTGCAGGGGTTTCCTTGCTGCAAAGAGCTCACGGGTCGTGCAGACTTTGGGGAAGAAGTTCCTCTTCCTCAGCTGTGTTTCACGAGCCTGCCCGGCCCTCGGTAACGATAAGCCCCATATTCCGCTGTGTGTCGAGGGGAGCCTTTCAGGTTACATTTTGTTGCGGATGAAACACAAGGATGTTTTACTTCGCAGTGTAATTTTAAGAGGCCTCGCATGGCTCATAATCTGCCCTCTCATATTCCATGGTGTGTGTGTGTGTGTTTTCTCTCTCTCACTTTCTCAGAGTCGCAGAGCTGTTTTGATTGATTGTCCTCAGCTGCAGCTAAAAGTCCAGCCAGCCAGTTTATAGAGTTGGTTCCAGCATCAATTCTCGCTTTGAAAAACATGACATTTAAAACCACCCTTTGGTTTTCCTACATATGGATCTGATGCTTTTGTTAAAGATTGTTTTTGCCGCTTTTCTCCTGGAATATAAGTCTCATTTGGACACCACATCTCCTTGACCTCAGAGCACCTTTATTTCAGTGCCATTGTAATTGACAGGTTGAATTTATGAGATACTGTCAAAGTTCAGTATTAATAGCAGATATTAATGTCACCAGCGTTTTCCAATAGAAAATTAATGTCAGCGTTGTCTGCAGCTAGTAACCCTCTAAAATGATTCCTACATGCCTCGACACTACATGCTGAGTGCTTTCTTTTATGCTTTTTGCTCTTGCAGTGCTTGGGCCATCTAATCCCTTTGTTTTAATGACATTACAATAGAGCATGCAACAAATCACTTCACTTCCCTCCTGATTCTCCATGACTTTGTTCCTTTAAAAGTCATTTGCGTCAGCCCAGAGTAAGTGTGAATCCGTATGACCAGTGTGAATGAAAACAGTGATCCAAGTGATTGCCAGTGCAGAAGGTAGTTATGGCAGGAGAGAAATGCAGAGGCTGTCTGTCTGTCTGTCTCTGCATCCCTTGTGGCACGTATTGACATAAAGCTCGGCCTGACGCAGGATTTTCTTAGAGAGAAGCCTGAGCTGGTGGCCTCGGCGCAGGGAGGAGAGCCAGGGACTCCTGTGTGCTTAAAAGCCCTGAAAACATCCTGGGCTACAAGATGAAAGTCAGACTCTTTTCTCTTTCATTTGATTGTAACCTCTGTGAAGATGTAAAGCCTTTGGTCGGTGCTCAGAACTTTGCTTGGCTAGAACATGAGCACAGGGTTGCCTGGGACACCCGTGGTCTCTGGGACATTAAGGCTTTCCCAACAACCAAGCCCCCTGAACAGCCAAGGTATTGAGGCTTAAAGCTGTTCTTCAGAAACCTCTTCTGTTTTCAGACAGGACAGGACTGTGGGCAGCGCATTGTCCTGAACTGGGATTTTTAAACTGCAAAAGATGCAGATCTCATGCCATAAACCTGAAACAAACCAAAACCACACCAGGGAGCAGAGAGGAGAGAAAAGCTGCTCGGAGCTCAGCACTGAGCTGTGACCTGGACCAGCTGCATGAATTAATTCCAGCACAGTTAGCCATTTGCAAGGCAGGGAGGGCTTCTCCGCTCTGCCACAAGCAGTGGTTATCGGGCTGCATGAAAGATGCACAGCCCAGCCCTGTGGCAGGTGGTGGGGGACCACCGGGACAGGGTGTTCATCCTCTTTTTTCCTCCACCATACAGCTCTTGATGTTCCTGCAACCTCCTGGATGCTTGAGACCTTGCCATTGCTAGAGCTCTTGAAGTGTCACTGCCAGGAAAGCTATTTTCTGCGTCTCGAAGGTCTCTTAAACCTGAAAGAGGAGTTGGAGGGCATTTGCTGGCTACTGTTTTTGAATGCCAGGTTCTTGCTGCTGCAGTGGGGGAAATGCCCATCTTTTCTGGAGTTTTTCCCAGTGTACAAAACTTTACACAGATATCTATGTACTGTATTTCTGCATTTTCCCTGACTTTTGTCGGGTTTACTGGTGGGGAAGAAGGCATTTCTGACTTGTTAAAGAGGTGGGAACACCATTTCTGGAGGCAGCTGGTTTCCCCTGTGTGATGGAGGAGGCAGTTGGTGGGTCATTACTCAGAAAAAGCTCTAAAAAAAGATACGCAGTTGAGCTTGCAGTTCTTCAGCAGGTGCAGAGGGACGTGGCTGTGTGCCTGCTGGGTCAGTGCTACCTGCACCTTGTCTTGGTGGGAAGGGACTGCCAGGCCCTTCGCCCACGCAGCGGAGCAGTGCCTGGTGCTGAGGGCAGAGACACCGGCATGCACAGTCTTAGCTGGGATTTCTCCACACTTGCTGCAAGCTAAGTATGTACCTGCACATTTCCCTTCTTTCCTAGACATTTTGGAAGAGGAAATCCTGCTCGGTCAATGCAGCATTGCTTTAGTGGCTGGTCTGATGTAGTTCAGACAAGGTTCCCACCAGCTCCCTTGTTTAATAGACCTCTTTTTTATTAAAAACAAAACCCAAACTCCTCTCTCCGAAAAGCCAGCCAAGATTCTCTTTTTTTCTCTCTTCCATCTTGTTCCTCTTAGAGGAACTCTGGGAGCCCATCTTGGTGCTTTCACTCTTTCACATGCCAAAGATTGCTACATCCCTCTTAGTTATGCTCCTGCCAAACCAGATCTTATAGTCTTGCCTCAAAAATCATCCACTTCCCTGCTCCTTGGGGTTCCTTTTGTTGCTGTTGCTTTTTCATTGAATTTCCTCATGTTTATTGACATGTCTATTGTTGAGCTTCCTGGACACATGCAGCTCTCTTTTTCAGATACAGAGAAAGACAAATAGTTGCCTTCACTAGTGTGCTCCTGCTGTTGGGGAAATACTGTTAGTGATATGATTCCTACAGATGGGGATGGGTCTCATTTAGAGCTAGGGTCATGGAGGGTGTAAACTGGCATTGCTCCATTGGCTTGGCTGGAATAAGGCCAGTTTTGTCCAGCTGAGAATCTGTTCTTAATGTCTAAACAGTTATTACACACTAATAAAGATTAATGATTGTAAATCCCCACGGATTATACATAAAATGGCAAGTTTTACTCATTAATCTTTATTGCTATATTATAGCTGTTTATGTTAGAGGAGTCGTCTCTCTGTGTTCTGAACATGCACTTAGGAGGTGGGGGTTGAGCATGGGGGAGATGAAGGGTGGACAAAACAGACCAGATGTCCACGTGTTTTACAGTCTGTGTCCTCCCCCCAAGTTGGTTGTTTCCTTGAAAGCCGTTAACCAGCAGCAAAGGATGTATCACAG